GAAACTGCAATGTAAAACCCGTTTGTTACTGTAAGTGGTGTTAGTTGTGGCTGTCTTCTTTCTGGACTGGAATTTCTCAAACACAATGCTTTCGGTTAAAATTATTTAAATCTGTGAAATCATAACACATTTACATACATCCATTACTAAAAGCAACTCATTCCAATACAGGTTTGTGGTGAGCCTAAACTTAAGGCAGCTGACAATAGTAACAATTCAGACACACGACCACAGGGCAAACTCAAGAAAAGAAATTAGAGGCCATATTAACCTATTAATGTGGTGCGGTGGCTCTGTGACTATGGATCTGTGCCTGTGGCTAGAAGGTTGCTGGTTCGTATCCTGTGGACGGCAGAGGAATCCTACTCTACTGGGCCCCTGAGAAAGTCCCTTAACCCCAACTGCTCCAGGGGTGTCGTATAAATGGATGGCCCTGCGCTCTGACCGCAAGCTTCTCTCCCTGTCTGTGTGTCTCATGGAGAGCAAGTTGGGGTATGCAAAAAGACAAATTCCTAATACAAAAAATTGTATATGGCCAATAAAGTGATCTTATTTTATCTTATCTAATAAGGAGAACATGAATAATCTACAAGAAGGTGGTGCAGGCTGGACTCAAAACTACAGTAAAAGAACAGTGTGACAGCAATACTAAGCATAATGAACACTTTACCAGTGAATCCTTCTGTTATGGAATCATAGTTCTGCCATTCGGTTATATTAAGACTCTAAATAGAGCTTGAAACCATTGCACTAAAACAACATTAATTTTAAATCATTCAAATGGTTAGATGTAACTACACTACTCTGAAACTAATAAGAATTCAAGGTTTTCTAGAATCTAATATTATGAATTTGTTTTTTTTCTATTATGTTTATTAGGTTTCATACAAAGAAATACATAAAAGATTTACAATGTTGTACATGAATAGACATAATTGAATAAATCGCAACATATTTAGTAGTCCAATCAACAAAAAAAAATTAAATTGACCACAAAAAATAAGTGTCCAGATGTGAACTGGATAGTGGCCACAGACAAGTGGAGAAAGTGGAGTTCTTTAGGAGGATGGGGAGCCAAGGATTAATCTAACATTGAGCCTCAGTAGGGTTTTCACTAGCATTTGAGAATTATGATGGAATTGTTTGTTAGTGGTTTGCAGAAATGTATAGGTAAAAAATCTTTATTTTTTCAGGATGACAAAAAGGCTTTGAAAAAAGTGTACAATACACACGATTCTTTAGTAAAGAAATACAGAAATATAACATGTGGGCTACACAATTCAAGTTAAGATCACACAAACAAATATTTATTTTCTACTGTTTCACTCAAATACTAATTATTTAATATTAGGACTGGGTCAGATTTACCTAAAGAAATAAAGTTAACAAACATGTGTTGATCTGTTGACTTATTCTTCTGAAAAACAATATTACGACTGAAAAGGGATGTTTTATATCAATCTTGTTTGAGATTAAAATTAATAATACTTTTTGTAATTGCACAATTATAACAAATAAAAAAACACAAGATAAATACTATTTTGTTCTGTACGTTATTTTGCTGAAGAGCTGGTACTACATCATAACACTGAGAACAAAGTAACTGTTATTCTGTATAGAGAAATATTTGCACTTGGAGAATAATAATAGTACTAATTGTTTACTGGTACAGCCTTCCTTTTCCTTATGAAATTCTTTACTTTCTCCATTACCTCCTCAGTTTTTAAGGTGTATATGATGGGATTCAGCAGAGGAGGCAGGGTTGCTGCCAAAGATGTGTTGAGGACTCTGGTGTTAGTTTCCACAGTGAAATTTATCAGAGAAGGAATGTGGCATTTACCGTATCTCCATTGCTGCCAGCTGCTGAAAGAATATTTCAGTATTTCCCTTTTTACTTTTTCACAAGCCTAAAATAAAAAATAAAAAAAATTAAAGGTGACGACAATACTGTAGTATTAATAATGATTATAGTTAAACAGAAACAATATGAACATCATATACTTTATTTCAGTTTCAATTGCCAGTCATATAATTTAATGATAATATTTCTTTATTAGCCCTATACAATTTCTTGCATTAGGAATTCATCTTTTCGCATACCCCAGCTTTTCTCCATGGAGACACAGATAGGGAGAGAGCCTGGGGTCAGAGCGCAGGGTCTGCCATTGTACAGCACCCCTGGAATAGTTGGGGTCAAGGGCCTTGCTCAGGGGCCCAACGGAGTAGGATTCCTCCGCCGGCTGCAGGATTTGAACTGGCAACCTTCCAGCCACAGGCACAGATCCTTAGTGACAGAGCTCCGCCGTAGAGGGTAATATCATATCTGACCATACAATTTGTCCATATCTATCAATTCTCTAATTGCTATTTTTAAACAAGAGTTTAGGTAACTAATTTCTATAAAAAACAAACAGAACTTAATACATAAGCTCTATTTTAAATTTATTTAGATGTGCGATCTCTTCTGTTTTTATTGTTAATTGAATTGGAAGAAAAGCCAAAGTTCAAGAAGGTAGATTGCTGTGGGAAATAATGCCCTTGTTACAATTTTTTGTAATATTACCCTGTGAAGTTTATGCAAGGTCTTTTATCTCATATTGTTATTTTCTGATAATGTTTGCTTTTAATTTTGAGTTATTAATTGTATACTTTACATCAAAAAAATATTTTTATACAGGCATACAGTATGTTTGACATATTGAATATTCATTAGTTTTTTGTTGGCCATATACAGTATATTCAGTACATATACAGTTATATACAGTACTGTAGGCATTTGGTCAAAATCACCTCACTACTGAGCCCTGGGTCCCAAACCTCAAATCTCTGACTCCCAGTCCAGATCCAGATCCAGGTCTGAGATTTAAAACTAAAGAGGAGATTTTTATGAAATCATGGGGAAAAGGGGGTGTTTTACAGTGTTACGTCCCAGTGTGTGTTCTGTGTGTTTTTTCTGTTATGTCCACACTGCTGACCCTTGATTGTTCTCCCTTCCCCATTGGCCTACCATTACACCACACTTTCCATATGATGTCATCATCAATCAGCCTTCAGCCAATCAGAACTCATTTTATTCACTATTTAACATGGAGGCTTTCAGGAAGAAGAGGCCTTTCGTTTGACTTTGGTCCCGTTTGGTTTTGATTATCACTTCACTTTGCTTCGCTTCTGGTTATTGCTTCGGCTTCATTTGTTGGTTGGTTTTTGTGCTTTGTGTGTGTGTATTTTCGTATAGCTTTGTTGGTTTGTTGGTTTGTTGTTAGTTTCTTTGTACTTTCGTTTGTTTGTGTGTTCATCCTTGTTTTGCCATTACCTTGCCCCAGTGTTACATGTTCAACTTTTGTGTTCTTTTGTACCCTGCTCCTGTTGATTACTCTTGTTTTCCCTTATTTGTATTCCTGGCTCACTTGTGTTTTTGTGTGAACTTTTGTATATAAGGGTAGTTTAGGTTGTTGGGGTACACTTTACACACTTAGTTTATTTTGTATAAGTACACTAGTTTAGTACGGGTGAGTGTCATTTGTCTTGTATGGTTTTGGGTAGTCAGTGCAGGTTAGCTAGGGTGTTGAAGACGACGAAGACCGTGTGTTTCGGGTTTTCTTTTGTAGTCAGATTAGCTTTCCCTCACTGTCCTAGCCAGCTTCATTTTGTTTGTTATTTTCTTTTCTTTGGCACCACTCTAGTTCCTTACTCTTATCACGCTTCCTAGTCCCTCACCAAAACCCACCTGCCTCCAAAAGAATTATCCTAAATGTTACACCCCTTTAACCCTAGACACTTGGGGTCGTAACATACAGTATCAGAACCCCTGGCTTTCCGATACCACACTTCCCCTGATGAATAGGCCTTCATTAATGTCTTTGGACTAAAGTGATTGTTCAATTATTGAGAAGTCACAGTAGACCATAACTACTCCCCTCATCCCCTCTGAAAAACACCAGTTTGTTTTAGTCAGGTTGTAAACTTAAGAAATTTATAGTGTTGTTCTTGTTTTATATACTGATTTTGTTTGATATAGATTAATTACTTGATTTAGCAAATATTTTACACAAGTTAGTTAAATAAGGTAGAATAGCTTAAAGACTGAAAGAAGTAATTAGGACATGTAAGTGACAGCAATATAGGGTCCTCTTTGTTTTAAAAGGAGAGGATTAAATTTTTTACTTGTTCTCTAATTCCTTGAAATTTCTATTTGGACTCAAGGAATGATGTTATACTTTGGCCCTCCCACAAGAAGCCCTGAAGTTTAATATTTATTTTCCCATTAATTTGTTCTTATTGTATTTTTTTAAATGACAGCATTGTTTTGGGGGACTAGGAGGTAAAGATTTTAAAACTAACAAAAGCAAAAATAATTGTAGATTAATCCTTGTTAAAAGAACAATAAAGGTCATTATGTTGCTTAATATCTATGCACGACCAGAACTGTACTGTTCTGAATGATAATGATGTTAAAGAGCAAATCAAACATGAGAGCATTTTACAAAACAAGGGAGAGGTTCACCAGCAATACTATAGGATATAGCTACTGCGGTGCTTAGAGGGAAACTTATTTCTATTTGTTCACAAACGAAAGTAAGACAACTCAAATTAAGGCAGTTACAATCTGAATTAAAATGTAAAGAGCAAAAACATGAAAAATCACCTGTTCACATGATATAAAAACAATTACTGAAAGTTATGAAATAAATAAATTGAAAATTGCGGTATAGAAACAAATTAAAGTTCTTACAACAAAGTTACTATGAATCAGGAACTAAATCATAAGTACTAGCAAGAAGAATGGATAAGTAAGAGACTAAATTTGTAATTCCTAAAATATTTAACCATGTAATATTTTTGGTGGCATAATATCAATGGTTATTTAAATAAAGAAAACATAATATAATATATTAATATAATATAATTGTTAGTTATATAATTAGTTAAATAGTTAATTAAATTAAGTAACATCATATTATTGTAAAATGAAAGACAAAAACTGTAAATTATTTAATTTTCTACATGTTTTAACTATCCATCCTTTCATCATTTAATTAAAAGTAAAAAAAAGAAAAATACAAAATGGAACCAATTTTAGAATGTCACTGGCATGTTGTATGTTAGATTGAATAAGCAAACCGTAGAGTACAATCTTTCTAATAATGAATGACTTTCTTGTGTAGGCCACCCTAATGGATGTCAATATTTGTGCCGTAGGTGTGCAGAAATAAATAAAAACATTGTGTACATACAGCAGACATCTACAGTATTACCTCTTCTTCAAATTCAGGGACACAACTAAGCAGTTTAGGAACACTGGCAGTGGATGTCTGTCTCGCCAGAACATTAGGTTACAATATGCTGACTTTCTTACTGTCGAAGGCCTACTTTTTTTGGTTTGATGGAGTTTACTGTGACGTATAGATTGTGTGCTTTCATGGTATTCACAATAATAAGGTTAACATGGTCATTTACTTTGTTTTGACATTTATTAATCCGGTACATTTAAAGCCAATTTTCAAACAATGCAGGGGGGAAAGGCTGTCTGCCCTGGGGTCCATGCTGGCTCTCTGGCTCAATGCAGGTGCAATGTTACAAGAAAAGATTAGGGGTCACAAATGTAGCCCATGGATGAGGACTGAAATAATATATCAATAATAATAAAACATTTAGCTTAAATTAGGTAGAACTGTAAAAACCAACATAGTTTTGTGCTGAGCCTATGCTTGAGGCAGCAGACAATAGTTGCAACTCAGACAAAGCATCACAGGGCAAACATAAGAAAGGCAATTTAGAGGCACACATTAATATAGTAATTATGAGAACATGCAAACTCTACACAGCAGATAATGGAGGCTGGACTCAAAACCAAAAGGACAACGAGACAGCACTGCTAACTTCTACAAAACACTTCACCGCCCATGCATGTCAGTCCTTCCAATATGGAATTTTTGGCATACAGATTGCAAGGTACTGTATATAGAGTGAAAATGACTACAAAAACAAGGTGTCAGGTTGTGAACTGGGTAGAGGGTAGAGACAAGACCAATTCTTTAGAAGGAAAGGGAGTCAAGGATGAATCTTGCATCTGGAACAGAGTTTCCAGAAAAGACCTTTAACATTGAGCCACAGGAGGCTTGTGACCAGTATTTGAGAATTATGTTGAAATGGTTTGTACTGTATGTCAGTGGTTTGCAGAAATACATGGGCAAAAACTCTGCTTTTATTCAGGGTGTCATAATGGCATTAAAAAGTATATAATACACGTACCCATCTTTGAGAAAGAAATATAGAAATACTGTATATTATGTGGGCTACACAATTCTTAAGATCACACAAAAAAGTACTCCACTTATGCTGTTTCACTAAAATACTCATTTATAAATATGAACTATTATTATTTTATTATTATGACTAAAGAAATATGGGTAAACAAATATCTGTTAAACTGTTGCATTACAATATACTGCTGTAAAACAATAGTAAGGTTAAAAAAGGAAGAGAGATGTTTTAAATCATTAATGTTTGAGATTAAAATATTTTTTTTGTACTTGCACAATCATAATAAACTGAAAAATTACAAGAATTCTGTTCTTTTTTTTCTCTTTTGCTGAAGATTTGTTTCTGCTTCATAACACTGTGAACTATCTACAGTAATTATTTTTATTTGCAGGGAAAAATTACACTTCTAGATTAGAGCACTAAAGAATTACTGGAGCAGCCTTCCGCTTCCTAAAGGAATTCTTAATTTTCTTCATTACTTCCTCAGTTTTTAAGGTGTATATTATGGGATTCAGCAGAGGGGGCAGGGTTGCTGCCAAAGATGTGTTGAGAATTCTGGTGTTAGTGTCCACCAGCACATTTATCCATCCAATCATATATGTTACTAAAACAGGTATAAAGAATATAACCACTAAGGCTAAGTGAGCCATGCACGTTTTAAATGCTTTCCACCTCCCCTGTGCAGATGCAAGCCTTGAAAGAGCAGCTATAATACACGTGTATGATAAAATAATAAATGTCAGTGGCAGAAAAAAGAAAGCAACAGTATAAACACTGGCTATGGTCCAGTTTGCACTGTAGCTAGTGCAGGCCTCTTTGAACACTGGTCCTTGATCACAGAAATAACTCTTAATGACAGGAACAGGTTTGCAGAATGACAGGCGTGCTATGAAAACCACTGCAACAGTAAAATATGAAAAAGTTAATATCCAACAGAAAACAATTATAATGAACATTCTTGTGTTTGTGTTGATTGTACTACTTCTCAGAGGAAAACAAATAGATACAAGTCTTTCGTAAGACATAACAACAAGGGACAGAGATTCTAAGCCATAGAAAGAATGAACAAATAACATTTGAGTTAAACATGTCTCATATAACACAAATCTTGAGTCAAACAGAAATTGATGTATACTTTTTGGAATAAGAGCTGTGCTAATGCTCAGATCTACTACAGATAAATTAAAAACGGCTATGTACTTTGGTGTATGAAGACACTCTGACAGCCATATTACAGACATTAGAATGAAATTGGCTATCAGGGTTCCCAGGTAAATGAAAGCCAGGAATATGAAATAATAATCACTGTGCTGCAGATTCTGAAATCCAGATATCAGAAACCCCACAGTGGTGTTTATCTCCATTGCTGCCAGCTGCTGAAAGAGTGCTTCAAAATCCCCCTTTTCACTTTTACTCAAACCTAAAATCAAAAAGGAAATACATTTTAAAAAGGAAATGACAAAACTGTAAGATTAACAATGATTCTAGTAAAACAGAAACAATCTGAACATCACATGCTCAGTTTCAGTTTCATTCGCCAGTTTTGACTATTACAGATTTGACTACAGCATACTATACTACAGTATAGTATCTCTTAATTCTCTATTTGCTATTTTTTAAATAAGAGTTTAGGTAACTAATCTAGATGAAATGTAAATACAATTTAATACATAAGCTCTATTATAATTTTATTTTGATATGCAATCTCTGTTTCATACCTGACAGAAAGATGATGGTGAAATTCTTTCTGTGTGCTGAGTCTAAATAAACATCCACCAGAGCACAGTTATCATCATATTGTCCTCAAGTGGTATGACAATTCCTCTGTGCATGAGGGTGCTCTTGTGTCACTGAGAAGGAGTTACAAAATAATACCATGCATGTGATCAGGAAACTAGATCTTGAGGTCTTGCCTACCCAGTCTATTGTGAATTCCTCCATGAGAATTAATAGGGGAATACTTCTGTTTTCACTCTTAGTTGAATTGGAAGAAAAAAACTGTGTGAAATAATGCCTTTGTTAAGATTTTTGTGATTTTTCCCTATAAAGTTTATATTATTGCTTTTGACTAATATTATGATTTTCTGTAGCATTGAGAATGTTTGCATATGATTTTTATTGTCCTTTTGTCACGGTCATCATCCCTCCTCTAGAGGGAGTTCCTACCTCTTTTGTATTATGTTTAGTTCAAGTACTTTCACCTGTGCTTTTACCCCTTTTTGCTATTTAAGCCCAGTCTCCGTGGTTCTGGGCTAAGCTTGTGAAGATGGATGCCCGGAAGCCCGCCTACCACCAGGCACAGGAGTGGCCCAGGGGCACAGGCTTTATCACTGTGTCCTGACCTCTGAGTCCATTGTTCAGAGTGTCCAGTCCCATTATGTTTTGATCTTTTTTGTTCCTGATCCCATATCCCATTTTTTTAACTGTCTTTGTCTCGTATGGACCTCCCGCCATTGGACATTGTACTGCATCCAAACTACCCCATTGTACCTTCCTTGGATCTGTTGCCTGCTCCCTTTCCCCTTTTACCGGATCACCACTGTTGCCGCCCCCTGTCTGTCGACCCAACCTTCCCTGATGTGCTTCTCCAGACGCTTATATCGTCTGGCAATAGGGTCTTTAACAACACACTTCACGGGAGTCAGAACCTGCTACCGTGACACCCTTCTTACTTTTGATTTATTACATTTTATACTTAACATGAAACAAAATATTTTTATTCAGGCATGACATAACAGACTGTGTAGATTGTGGATGTTCATTAGTGCCTGACTCAAATAGTTACTGTACATAGGCTGTCTCATACATTAGGCACAGTTAAATACTGTAGGCATTTGGTCAAAATCACTATGGAGGTTGTTCATTGGGCACAGGTAATGAAGTGATCTACACTTTTCAATCAAGAATGACAGAAACAGAATGGAGTCTTCCAGTGACATCACCATCAACAATGGTGTTAATTTCTTTTTTTATTTTATTTTTTCTCTCTTGCACATCTTCAAAGAATGCCAACAACTGCTTCAAAAATGTAAATAATGCATTTTAAAAAAGATACTTAGTGTTGCATAAAAATGGGAAAATGAGTCAAAGGAAGTAAAGACACCCAAAGCAACCCGAGAAAGAAAACTGAGGAACAGGGAAACCGCATTAGTTCTCCCCATGCTTAATGGGTTGTATGGTGCCGTGTCGAGGAATCTGAGGACCAACAGGTCCTGTCAGTCGCAAGAAGAATACTTACTGAAATGCTAAATTTCAGAAGGGATATGAACAGAAATCTGATGGACTTTATTGAAGAGTTGAACAACATGAATGAATGGACACATGTGGTGGAAGAGCTCATTGTGCAGACTGAAGCATGGAGTGAAAAAACAGATGACATGCTTCTACACCTGATCCAGAGGCAGAAGCTGCTAGAGGCCAAGAGACAGACCTGGAGGGCAGGACGAGGAGACAGAACCTGTGGATCTATGCAGTCCCACCAGAGAGCAATGTGGGGGAGGGGGGGTCAGTGATCCAGCTTACTGAGAAGCTTAGTGAGGAGCAGTTTGAGATCACCCTCCAAGACTTATACTTGGAGATTGAAAGGGCTTTCAGAACCCTGGGCCCCCAACCCTCTGATACGCGGTCCAAATCAAAATCCATGTCTGAGATTAAAAACTAAAGAGGAGGTTTTGATGAAAACATGGGGCGAAAAGGAGGTGTTTTACAGTGTCAGAACTCCTGGCTTCTTTGATATCACACTTTTCCTGACAAATAGGGCTTCATTAATGTCCCCAGCAATACTATCAAGTACAGCTAATGCAGTGCTTAGAGGAAAACCTATTTATTGAAAGTTACAGAAGAAATAAATACATTGAAAATTGTGGTATAGAAAAATGAAAAAGAAAAATTCTAATTAAAGTTCCTACAACATATTTGCTATGAATCAGGAGCCAAATAAATAATTACTATCAAGAAGAACACATAAGTAAGAGGCTCAATCTATGATTAAAATTCCTTATATATGTATTTAATATTTAAATATTAAATGTATTTAATATTTAATATTTTCTGGCATAAGGATCAGATTTAATCCAATAAAAAAACTGAATATTATTATGACACGGTTTGCTCAGGCTGACAGCTGAGTCTAAAGGCATGCACTCAATCAAGCTGCAGATGCTTGGTGATTGCTGGAGTCTGTCAGATATCGCTGAGGAGAGAGTACTGAGAAAGCCATGAGGCAGAGTTGAATCTAAACAGGGAAAAGGGCTGGTTACACAGGCAGGGAAAAAAGCGACGGTGAAGTTTCAGGCAGAACAGAGTCAAGGTAAGTTGAGGGAATGGGAATCTTCAGCTGGAGGTCAGAAACAGGGTTTATTCTAGGTTTAGTTCATGAGAACCTGAGAGAAACAAGGACAGATCAGAGCTGTAGCAGTCTCTTGGAACTTGTGGTAGTTTAGGTGTTTTATAGCCTGTCAGGTTTGATTAGATGAGGAGCTGGCTTGGTAGAAGGAGGGAAGAATCAGCACGCAATTGTAAAATGAAAGATGAAGTCAGTATTTATTTTTATATATTTTACCTATCCATTCATCCATCTTTAAATAAAAAGAATAAAATAAGAAAAACACAGAATGGAACCATATTTTCTAACCTCTACTTCCAATTCACAGGGGAGCCACCGCCTTGTCTTGGTAAGCAGCTCGCATAAGGCAGGATACACCCTGGATGTTCTGCCCCAGTCCATTGCTGCCCAGACCAGGTGGTTAAACAACATAGACACTCACATGTACAGTACAATACTACTGTACTTGATCCTAGAGCACATTAACCTATGATCTCAGTATGTTTTTGGACTATGGACTACACCTGGAATCTCAGTGTCACAGCACTAAATTAGCAGGGTTTTTGGGCTGAAAAGCAGTCATTTATTGGAGAGATGATTGGATGATTTGGTCCCTGATTGAATGGGAGAGTTGCTCACAATCAGAGTGCTGGCCTGGTCCTCATGGGCTCGGGTGGGATGCAAGCACTTACTGTATGTGAATGCTGCAGTTACCAAGAGCAACCTCAGGCAACAAACTGCTCCCAGCCCAGAGTGTCACAGTGAGCTGCTACTGTACGTATGCTTACTGTATAGGTACCATATTTTTACAGTTAGTACCCGTATCCAAGACAATATACTGTATGTGCAAATTATTAGAGAGTAATTAACCTACAGTTGAAAATCAACATAATGCACATGTGAAGCTTTTTCATGTATATACAATATTAAATATTGAAATATACAATATTTGCATGGTGCAATGTTACAAGAAAAGATTAAGGATCAGAAATGTAGCCCATGGTTGAGGATTGAAATAATATATCAATAATAATGAAATATTTAGCTTAAATTATGTAAAACTATGAAAACCATTATACATTTGCTTAAAAACAGTACTGTACATTTTTAATAGCCACTTAATTCAACACAGTTTTGTGCTGAACCTACGCTTGAGGCAGCAGACAATAGTTGGAATTCAGACAAAACATCACAGGACAAATATAAGATTAATGCACACATTAATAACTCCAATAATCATGAGAAAAGGCAAACTCTACACAGAAGGTGATGCAGGCTGGACTCAAAACCAAAAGGACAATGAGACAGCAATGCTAACTGCTACAAACACTTCAGCACCCGTGCATGTCAGTCTTTCCAATATGGAAGTTTTGGTGTACAGATTGCAAGGTATATTCTCAAAAACCTTAGTTCGGTCACTTAGTTATATTAAGACACTAAATATAGCTTGAAACCACTACATTAAAACAAAACATTAATTGAAGATGTTCTAAGGTTACATTAGATGTACTGTAACAACACCACCTAAAACCATTATGAATTTAAGGTTTTATAGGATATTATGAATTTTTAGGATTTTGTACTCTGTTGATTAGCTTTTGTGAGAAGAAATACATAAAGATGAATAATCTTGTACATGAGTGCACATACAGTAACTGAGTGAATCATAATATATTTATTAGTTTAATAAGAAAGCGTGAATATAACTACAAAAAACAGGTGTCTGCTTGTGAACTAGGTAGAGTGCAGTGGCAGTTGAGAACAAAAAGTGCTTCAGAAGGAAAGGGAGCCTAGGATGAATGTTGTACCTAGGACAGAGTCTACAGAACAGACTTTTACATGGATCCACAGGAGGGTTGTGACCAGTATTTGAGAATTATGGTGGAACGGTTTGTATGTCAGTGGTTTGCAGAAATGTATTGGTAAAAACTGCTTTTATTCAGGTTGTCATAATGGCACTGGAAAAAGTGTACAACACACATAAAGATTTGATAAAAACATATAATGTGGAATACACAAGTCATGTTTAGTATCACATTAACAAATCCATCTCTTCTTTGGTTTCACTAAAATACTAATTATCTAAATATAAACTACTGTTATTATTTCATTTATTATTAGTAAATCAATACAGGTAAACAAATACTGTATGTTGAATTGTAGATTTGTACTTCTGGAAAACAATAATCAGATTGAAAAAGGAAGATATGTTTTATTAGTCATGTTTGAGATAAAATTAAATTTTTGTACTTGCACAATTATAACAAATTGAAAAAAATACAACAAAATTTACATTTTGTTTTGAACTTTCCTCACTTTTGCTGAAGTGTTGCTACTGCATCGTACCACTGAAAGCTAATTAATTGTTATTACTTACAGAGATAAATTACACTTCTGGATCAATTACAGTACTAAACAATTACTGGAGCAGGCTTCTGCTTCCTCAAGAAATTCTTAATTTGCTCCATTACCTCCTCAGTTTTTAAAGTGTATATGATGGGATTCAGCAGAGGAGGCAGGGTTGCTGCCAAAGATGTGTTGAGGATTCTGGAGTCAGTGTCCACTGGTAAATTTGTCCAAACAATCATATATGTTACTAAGACAGGTATAAAAAAAATGACCACTAAGGCTAAGTGAGCCGTGCACGTTTTAAATGCCTTCCACCTCCCTTGTGCAGATGCAATCCTGGAAAGAGCAACTATAATGCACACATATGATATAATAATCAATGCAAATGGCAGAAAAATGAAAGTAACAGTATAAACACTGGCTATAGTCCAGTTTGCACTGTAGCTGCTGCAGGCCTCTTTAAACACTGGTCCATGATCACAGAAATAACTCTTAATGAGAGGAACAGGCCTGCAGAATGACAAGCGTGCTATGAACATCAGTACAACAATAAAATATGAAAAAGTTAATACCCAGCAGAAAACAATAATAATGAACATTCTGGTGTTTGTGCTGATTGTACTACTTCTCAGAGGAAAACAAATAGATACAAGCCTTTCGTAAGACATAACAACAAGGGACAGTGATTCTAAGGCATAGAAAGAATGAACAAAGAACAATTGAGCTAAACATGTCTCATATAACACAAGTCTTGAATCAAAAAGAAACTGATGTATACATT